TTAGAGAAAACATAGATCCAAGGTTTCTAGGGCTGCATGTACACCTTAGGAGTGTTAGAATGCTCAAAACCCATCATAGGCATTATATAATCAGGAAACTCTAACATGCAAAACCTGAAGATCCCTAGCCTAGCACTAGCATGCTGTTTTATCATATCACAATATCAGATAACGTATGGTATTTTGGCTCCGGCTGATCGTACACATCACATCCTCCTTGATTATTTTGAAAACCATTTTAAAATATTTTCCTTAATTTGAGACTGGATTCACATGTGTGTTCCTCGAATTCACTCAAACCAAGGCTTTGATACCAATTTGTAACATCCATAAAATTCATGAAAAATTTAAACTTTTAAACAACCCAAAAACCATCATTTTTTTACATATTGTTTTCAAAATAAGTTCAATATCAGAGAAATCTGAAAATCATAAAGTAAAACATGAGGAGGTGCATGATCACGTCTTCACCCTCCCGCGATCCTATGAGGTACCTGAAACATAATCCAAAGCTGTAAGTCCAAAGGTTAGTGAGTTTCCCCCAAAATACCAATACATAACAAATAACACAAATACAAAACAACATACTATGGGTCCAATCAAACATCAGGTTAGAATACCCAAAGCCCCTCAACCATCGGGTTGGAATGCCAACATACTATGGGTCCAATCAACCATTGGGTTGGAATACCCTAGGCCCCTCAACAATCATGTTGGAATGCCAACATACTATGGGTCCAATCACCCTCGGGATGGAATACCCTAGGCCCTTAACCATCGGGTTGGAATGCCCCGGCCTGTTGGCTTACGCACAAAGCAGTGAAGCCTCAGCTACCAACCAATCATGTGCACATAATACAGATAAACATACTATTAACCAGCCAACAAACAAATAGACAGATCTTACAGATCACTAAGCATAGTAACATCCTAAATACCAGGATACCGATCTAACAGATCACTACAACACTATAAAATACATAACATGATATCAAATCCAAAGGATCGTTTTGGTGCCTTCGACCCATAAGTACAATGAGGAAAACTCACCTCACAATGTCGAACCACACTGAAAACTTCCGGCTGCTGGCTCACAAAAATCCCGAACTATCACAACAAACAAACATCCAATTAAAAATTAGATTACCATCCTTGACTAAGGATCCATACATAGGGTAAATGTCCACTTTACCCTTTCCCCAATTGGGCCAAGGCCCAAGTCCTAATTTTTGATCCAAAAGGCCCAAATTACTTCAAGACCCATAATTGGCCCAATTTTCTAAATTGGGCCGAACCCCTTATTGGGCCTTATACTAAGGTCTAACTCTCCAACTGGCCCAAAACACTCATACTCAGAAAGTCCAATGAGGGCCCATGTCATTCAATCCCAAAAGGTGGCCCAAAACTCGAAGCTCAAACTCAAAAGTCCACAGACGACGTACACTGGGCGTACACTGGAGGTACGCAGGGCGTACACGAGCCTCGCATTGACCACCATCGGGGTGGCTGACCGAGTATGCAGGGTGTACCCTTGCAGACCCCGAAGTCCATTAAGTACTTGGCTTAAGCACTTAAGCCCAAAGTACAGATCCATGGTCCAAATGCACCCAAAAGTCATAAAGTCTCCAACTTTATGAATTTACACGTCCTTAAGTTCTTAATACAAGGTCTTAATCCATTAAAATAAAAATTAAATATTTTATTCTTTAGTGTCTAAATTAGGGGTGGCAAATCGGGCCACCGTGTCGTGTTTTTGTCTGACACGACACGACACGACAATGTTTTATGTAACACGAACACGACACGACACAATCTCGGGTTTTTTTGAACTAACACCAAAACGAATCGATTAAAAAACGACAAACACGACACGACACGACAAAGATAACATGAAATAACAATTAATGTATTTAATTAATATTTATTCATACATAACATGAAAAACACGACAAACATGAAAAACACGACAAACATGAAAAACACGACAAAAAATGTTAAATCGTGTCAATTTCGTGTCAAATTTTGAACACGAACACGACACGACACGACGTCGTGTTTTTTACACCTGACACGAACACGACACGAACACGAATTCGAATTTCAATTTCGTCTCAATTTCGTTTTGTGTCGTTTATTTTTGTCGTGTCGTGTCATCAATTGCCACCCCTAGTCTAAATCCTTTCGAATTGAAATGAAAGTTAGAAGCAAAAATACCTTCTTTCCATCTCACTTCCAATTCCATCCATTATAAGATACGTTACATTTTTAAATTTGGTTTTTTTCTTTTAAATTTTTTTTTTATTTTTAGTTCTACAATTCAAAAGAAATTAAATCCTTGATTCTTTTTTTTTTCAATATTATCCACAAGGTACAATACAATGAGAGAGAATATCCATTTGAATAATTGGTTGTTGTGTACGTTGGCCCACCGCCCATTATAGATTCGTGTGTATGACAATTCTCAACCAAATATTTGGAATCAAACCTACAAGAGACAGCCATTCAAAAAAATAAGAAAATAAAAAATACCATAGGGAGACATCGAAAATAAGAAAAGGTCCAATTTTGTGTATGGCTTGGCTTCGGTTATTATATTCACTTCAACTACACAAGTTTCTTTCTTACAAAATTTGAGTATGACATGCAACAAAGATTAATAATATATTCATAACTAAAAAAAAAAAAAAAAAATCAAACCTAATTAGTTTTACTAAACGAGACAACAAATAGTCCAAAGATGACCATTTGATAACCCGTACACACGCCTTCATATATATATAGGATGTGCTGGGCAAAAAATATATGTATATAAATAGATGTAAATATGAAATTTATAATATTACATAAAAAAATAAAATGTTAAAACCAAAATTTTTTAAAACCTCTCAAAAACTACTTAAAGTAGCTTTAGAATTTAGATTACGATTTTTTTTTTTTTTTACAAAATAAGAGTTTGAATTTTGTAGAAGTAAATTATTATTTTTTTCTTTTAATACGAGTTTTTTTTAAAAGATAAAAACGAAAAAGATCTTAAAATCTTATTGCTCACAAAATTCGGTTGTCAAATATGTCCATAGTTAATATGCATTTTTTAATAAAATCTTTTGAGTAGAATAGCTAGGCGTGTACTTCAAATTTGGCAAATGGAAATTTATTTAAAAATAATATTGTATTCAACTCATATAATTTATCTCTTATCTTTGATAAAAAAAAAATTAATAATAAAGTAGCAACCTATTGTCGTTTTTGCCATAAACATGAGTACATGACAATATATTCACAAGTTGAAGCCAGAAAGATCATGCCATCATCTATCTAAGATGTCAAAGAGATCTACATCATACCAACTCAAATGGAGGAATGAGAAAAAACCCAAGAAATTCTACCGAATCAATAAGCATGATAAGGCCTAGTTTTTTATTTTCTGAGTCAAACATATACACTTTTGATTTCAAAATGTATAAGAACGATTGTTCATATAAAGGAAACATAAATAATGAGATTAATAATACTAAAAATAGATTTACTGCGGAAAATTTATAAACTAAAATAGTAAACCCAGAAATGTTTGGCCATACAAGCACAACCATAGGATCCAAGATACATACAATCACACATATAAAAGCAACATATGGATTACGATTTTCAGAAATAGCAAACCAGGAACTCAATCAAGATAGAAAACTAGTACTCAAGTATACTACAAGACTAAACATTCTACGTTTTTAACACAAAATCAACAATAAAAAGAAGAGGGAAAAGTTGAAAACAGTAGACCATACATGAATAGAGATAAAGATAGAAGGTATACGCGTCTCCGATTCTACCACCATCCATAAACAACATGTGTGTACTTATCTTTAAGCCACCTGAAACTCTTCCTGAAAGACCCTTTGACTTTTCCTTCAACAGAGTAGACTTTATAGCCAGCAACCCTCTTCTTCCTCAGGAACTCAGGATCATTAAAACTCCATGATTTTGCTGTTGACTTCCCTTTCTTGAACTCTAAATCTCTTGTAGTGCGAGCAACAACAACATCCATGTTAGTTTGAGGGGGTGGACCATATGAAACACTATAGGACCTGAAATTATGAGGTGGGTTGTGTTCAAAATTGGACCTTTTTGGTCCATTTCCACCGTAGTATCTCTCTATTTGCATATCTCCCTCATCACTGTATGTGTATGATCTTGATCTGTAGTCTCCCATGGGGTTCTTGAGATGATGAAGAAGAAGAGGGAGATATGGGTGTTGGAAAGAATTGAAATTGATCGTAGTCGGAGTTTCGAGAAGTTAATGTGGTTTGAATTGGATTGAAGAATCTAGGGTCTCATATTTCCTGGGAAAATGGTACAAAATAATGCAAGAAAAGTAGACAATATGTTGGAGCTAGGCTAGTCAATGACAGTCTAGTCTTATTGAGAGATGTATTTGCTGAACAAACCACTGGCAGCAAACTTTGTCCAGGTTAGAATTGCGAGATGACTACATATTTTAATTTTGGCCACACGGGTATTTTTATATTGGAGAAAATAAAAAATAAAGTAATAAAATTTAACGATTTTTTAAAATATATATATATATATATATATATATATATATATATATATATATATATATATATATATAT